CTACAAATATGCCAGAGCCACCTACATGCCCACCCCCAGCCTGGCAGCCCCTACCCATCATGGCACAGCTGCCAAATGGAAACTTGTGGGATTTCAAATGTTCAAGGATGCGGCCGAACTGGATGGGCCTTTGAGCAACTTGGTCTGGTGAGTGGCATCCCTGCCCACAGTAGTGGGGGTGGAACTTGGTGATCTTTAATGTCCCTTCCAACCCAAATCATCCTTTGATTCTATGAATTGTGCTTGTGTCACTGTCTGCTGCACACTTAGAGTCTGAGCATGGATCTGGATGCCAGGAGTGGAATAGGAAGGAAAGGCATTCCCATCTCTCTTGCAATGAGTATCAGGCCTTTCCATTGGACACAGGCATTCCAGAGTTCCTTTAGCACTGACACCCAGGACCCATGGCCAGCGCCTTTGACCTGAGGATGAGCCAGGTCCTGACCACCTGGTCAGAGAAAGTCCCAGGAGATCTGCCAGGACCCCCTAGCACTTGACACCAGCAGGGCCCCCTCTCTCAGCTGGCACATGTCTCCCAGATTGTCATGCACATCTGGACTCCCACTGCACCCTAAATCTGCCCCAGCCCTGCTGTCACCCCACGACTTTAATCCTGCCAGCACTGGGTCCCACAATCATGTGGGTCATCTCCCCAGCTTCTGTGCCATGCAGAGCGGATTCCTGTACCATGAAACTGGACTCCTTTTTGCTTCCCACATGATGAATCTCTGCTCCCAGGGTTCACCCACACGACCCAGCACCTCTTTGATAAGACCTGCTCTGAGATCTGAAAAGAAGCCATGAGCAACTGCTGAGCAGCAGGTCAGCGATATCTGCAAGGAGCAGGAGAGGACACTGCTGCTGCTCAGGTGTCATGAGACAGGCAGGACTGACTGCATCTTGGTGCTGGCCCAGAGCTGCCCCTGGCCTGGCTCTGCACCTCAAGACATGTGAGGGTCCTGGAGCAGCAGTGTCCCCAGAGGGCAGGAGCCCCCATGATAAGTATCTACAGACATCCAGTGTCTTGTCTTCCTGCTTAGCATGACCCTGACAGAGCTCATAGGCCATGTCCCCATCAGGATCCTACAGCTGACCTTCCAGGACCAGGCCACCAGCAGGGCCACCCAGTCACAGCTCCAGTACTGTCCCACACTGTCCCAATGTCCCATACACATTGCTGTATGCTTCCAGCCTTGCAGGATTCATAGGCTTCATGCCCTGTGGCCAGTTCCTTGTTGGCACAGGCTATTTGATAGCCACCAACCTGGATCTCCTTGACTTAAGTCAGATGACTCCAAAGAAGACCTCAGCAGCTGCAAGTTCCATAGCAGCAATCCCAAATCCAGCCTCTGACACCTTAACCACCCCTCTGTGCCTCCCCTGCACCCAAGGCTACCCCGGCAGGCAGCGAGCACGCAGGGAGCTGCTCAGTGTCAGTCCGCACAATGCAGGCAGCTGGAAATTCCCTTTCCTGCCCCAGGGCTGACTCAGCACCCTGAGGGGACTGTTTGCCAGCACATGGGCCCCTTCCTTGTTTTGGGCCAGCCAGAGCATGCAGGGAGAGCAGCCTGGCTCCATGAACCTTGTAAACAGCCCTGACCATTGCCCCCTCGGAGAGCTGAAACAAAGCAGCTCAGGTACAGGCCCTGGCTGCTCTCTGCTGCTCCCAGACAGAGCAGGGGTTTATACTGCTTCAG